GGGGAGTAGCCTATGGAATTTGTTACAGTCCCATTTAAAATCAATTTTTTTGTTCTATAATCTAGAAAGACTAGAATATGCTTATCCCCTGTACACAGAGCTAAGAAGTTTAAGAAGGAGTCCATTAGGAGGTAGCTGTATGAGTTGGGGCAACTGCTATGTGGCGTAAACACCTTCTGGGGGAAAACAGGGGACAGGGTTTTTCTATACCTCTTCTTACAATTCCTGGTCCTTGTAACCCCCGGATATGCTCATATGCCCATATAAAACTGTCACATTTTTTACTGTGGTCTGAAGAGACATACATTCCAGTCTTCTCTGCTCCCAGGACTAGGAGGGTTAGTATACAGTCCCTCAGGTGGAAATTGTAAAAATTGGGCACTCAATGTATAAACAAATTCCTTCCAGGAGGAATTAATAGACTTAATTATCACTGGAGTGAACTGGGGAAGAAAGTTTAAAAAGTGCCTATATACTTCTAGGGTTAACACTTGTCTGTCTCTTTAACTCCCCAGTGCAAGTTAGTTAGAAGCCAAGCCACTAAGTAGCCACTGGAAGAGTATGTCATAAACTTCTTCCAAGAAAGAAAAAAGTAGCTGCATTTTTATTGTTGTTATTATTGTTTGCCTTTTATCTTTCTTTATTTCTTTCTTATTTGTTTTATTTGATTGAATCTACCTTTGACATTCTTGATTGTATTTTTTCATTTTATTCATTGCATTTTTCAGGTCCAATATTCTATCTGATCTTCAAAAATTATATTCAATCTCTCTGTTAAATTTTCCTGACACATTTCTGAATTGATTCTGTATTAGTCTGTTCTTACACTGCTATAAAGGATTGCCAATGACTGGGTAATTTATAAAGGAAAGAAATTTAATTGATTCACAGTTCTGTATGGCTGGGGAGGGTTAGAATTATGGTGGAAGGGGAAGTAAACACATCCTTTTTCACATGATGGCAAGAAGGAGAAGTGCCAAGAAAAAGAAGGAAAAGCCCCTTAAATAAAATCATCAGATCTCATGAAAACTCAGTCACTATCATGAGACCAGCCTGGAAGCAACTGCCTCCATGATTCAATTACCTCCCACTGGGTCCCTTCCATGGCACGTGAAGATTATGGGAACTACAATTCAAAATGAGATTTGGGTGGAGACACAGCCAGGAAGTAACCACCCCTGTGATTCAATTACCTCCCACTGGGTCCGTCCCATGACATGTGGAGATTATGGGAACCAAAATTCAGATGAGATTTGGGTAGGGACACTGCCAAGCCATATTATTCTATCCCTGGCCCCTCCCAAATCTCATGTCCTCACATTTTAAAACACAACCATGCCATTCCAATAGTCCCCCAATATCTTAATTCATTCTAGCATTTAACCAAAAGTCCAAGTCCAAACTTTCATCTGAAACAAATAAGTCCCTTCCACCTATCAGCCTGTAAAATCAAAAGCAACTTAGTTACTTTCTAGATATAATGGGGGTACAGATATTGGGTAAATACACCCAGTCCAAATGGGATAAGTTGGCCAAAACGAAGGGGCTACAGGCTCCATGCAAGCCAAAATCCAATGAGGCAGTAATTAAATCTTAAAGCTCCTAAATAATATATTTGACTCCATGTCTCACATTCAGGTTACAATGAAGCAAGAGGTGAGCTCCCACATCCTTGGGAAACTCTGCTCCTATGGCTTGGCAGGGTACAGCCCCCTTTGGGGCCACTTTCTTGGGCTGGCATTGAGTATCTGTGGCTTTTTCAGGTGCAGAGCACAAGCTGTCAGTGGATCTAACATTCTGGGGTCTGGAGGATGGTGGCCCTCTTCTCACAGGTCCATTAGGCAGTGTCCCAGTGAGGACTCTGTGTAGGGACTCTTCCACACTTCCCTAGCAGAGGTTCTCCATGATGGCTCTGCTCCTGCAGCAAAATTCTGCCTGGACATTATGGTGAACAACCTCTGAAATCTAGGTGGGGGTTCTCAAACCTCAGTTCTTGAGTTCTGTGCACCCACAGGCTCAACATATGGAAGCTGCCTAGGCTTGGAGCTTGTAACTTCTGAAGCCATGGTCTAAGATATATCTTGGCCCCTTTTAGCCATGGCCAGGAAGCAGGGCACCAAGTTCGAAGACTGCACAAAGCAGCAAGCCCTGGGCCTGGCCCTTGAAACCATTTTTTCTCCCAGGACTCCAGGCCTGTTATGGGAGGGGCTGCTGTGAAGACCTCTGACATGCCCTGGAGACATTTTCCCCTTTGTCTTAGCAATTAACATTTGGCTCCTCATTACTTACAAAAATGTCTGCAGTGGCTTGAATTTCTCCTCAGAAAAATGGGTTTTTCTTTTTTAACACATCAACAGGCTGAAAATTTTCTGAACTTTTATTCTCTGCTTCCTTTTTAAACATAAGTTCTATTTCTAAACCATATCTTTGTGAATACATAAAACTAAATGCTTTTAATAGCAGCCACATCTTGAATGCTTTCCTGCTTAGAAATTTCTTTTGCCAGATACCCTAAATCATCTCTCTCAAGTTCAAAGTTCCACAGGTCTCCAGGTCAGGGTCAAAATGCCACCAGTCTCTTGGTTAAAACATAGCAAGATTCACCTTTATTCCAGTTTCCAATAAGTTTCTTATCTCTGTCTGAGACCAACTCAGCCTGGACTTCATTGTCCATATCACTATCAGCATTTCAAAACCATTTGACAAGTCTCTAGGAAGTTACAAACTTTCCCACATCTTCCTGTCTTCTGAGCCTCCAAACAGTTCCAACCTCTGCCTGTTACCTAGTTCCAAAGTCATTTCCACATTTTTGAGTATCTTTACAGAAGCATCTGACTACTCAGTACCAATTTACTGTATTTGGCCATTGTCATTCGGCTATAAAGGACTGCCTGAGACTGGATAATTTATAAAGGAAAGAGGTTTAATTGGCTCACAGTTCCACATGGCTGGGGAGGTCTCAGGCAACTTACAATCATGATGGAAGGGGAAGCAAACATCTCCTAATTCACATCATGGCAGGAAGGAGATGTGCTGAGCAAAAGTGGGAAAAGCTCCTTTAAAACCATCAGATCTCATGAGAACTCACTCACAATCACAAGAACAGCATGGAGGTAACTCTCCCATGATTCAGTTACCTCCCAGAGGGTCACTCCCACTACACATGGGGATTATGGGAACTACCATTCAAGATGAGATTTGGGTGGGGACACAGCCAAACCATATCAGATTCTGGGTTTTTTGGTTTTTTTGTTTTTGTTTTTTGGAACTTTGTGGGGCTTCCTTAAAAGCTATTTTGAATTCTTTGTCTGAGAAATCACACATCTCCATGACTTAAGGGTCAGTCTTTGATGTCTTATTTTGTCATATTCAGTCAGGTTATATTTTCCTGAATGCTCTTAATGCTTGTGGATGTACAATAACGTTTACACATTCAAGGATTCAATATTTATTTTAATCTTCACAGTCTGGCTTTGTTTGCTCTTATTCTTATTCAGAGGGACTTCCAGGGATTCTAAACAGACTGATTAATGTGTTCCCTGTGTCTGTGACCACTGCAACCATTTCAACACTAGAGGACACTCTAAGCCCAGGCTTCTGTAAGTCTTGCAAGGCTCTGAAGTTAATGCAGATTTCCAGTTTAAATGGATCTGCAGAAGATCCAAGGAGGGTACTGGGGACATGTGGGAATGCTGGTGAGAAATCATAGTCCAAAAATGTTGTCATGTCCCAAATGGATAAAATTTCTTGCAGGTCTCTACATATGCAGATGGGTTCCCAACCGCAGTGAGAGTGGCTAGAGTTGAGACTGGGTCCACTTGGGATCTACTGCGGCAAGAAGGCCATTCATTGACTCTGACAGCATGTATCACCTAGAAAGTTTCTACACAAGTAGTTAATTCCTAAACTACATCACCAGAAGCCACAGCTGAGATGTGGCCCCCTCAGGATTTACTATGGGATAGAAACTGGCATACCTGTCATGTTGGCTCAGGCAGAAGCACATCTTCAGGGAGGACCCTGAACAAGTGGGATAATTCTCCAATTGCAGCAGGACTGGCTGGAACTAGAACTGGGATCTCTTAGGATCTGCTGTCAGGGAGAGGATGGATGTACATGTCATTGGTTCAGATAGGCACACATATTTCAGAAGATCTTAGCAGATGTGGTAGTTTCTCAATTGCAGTCAGAAGAGGAGTTGAGACTGGGCCCCCTCACAATATGCTGTGGGGCAGAGGCTGAAAAGCCTGGTCATTTGTTTACAGGTAAGCACATCTCCCAGCAAATTCCTGTAAAGACAAGAGAGTTTTCAATTTCAGCAGGAGGGACCAAAGCTGCAACTGAAACCCCCTCAGGATCTTTTGTGGGTTAGAAGCTGAAGAGCCTGTCTTTTTGGTCTGGGCTAGTACATGTCTCCCAGAAGATCTTAGTACTGACAGGATAGTTCCCCCAACTAAGACAATATGGGATGGAGCTGAGACTGGATCCCATCTGGATCTGCTGTGGGACAAAGGATGGCGTGCCTATCCAGCAGGCTCAGACTGCTGGCCTATGAGATATGGATGGGTCTCTCTGTGAGTTGTGTAAGCAGCTCTAAGCTGAAATTCAGCTGATGGGGGCTGGACAAAGCTACATGGCAACTTTCAGGTTCACTATTTAGACAATGTCAGTGAGCAGAGCAGCCTTTCTGCCAAATGTGTGTAATTCCTTCTGGACCCCTCAGCAGATGGTTTTGGTTGCAGCCTCAAGTCAACATGGTGCAGTAGCCAAACCCTGGGAGGACTGGGCCATTTCCAGGATTGAAACCAGGAGCAAGCTTAGCAGATCAGTCACCTGGGTGTCTGTATGCACTCTCAAAATAATCCTCTGAAAGCCTGGGCTCCACTGACGTTTCACACATTCCTCCCTGAATCCAGGGAGACTTTGAACTCTAGATGGGAGTAGAATTCTTATGCTTGTGGTGGGACATGATTAGGTGAATTCTATTTCACCATCTTGGTGATGTCACTTTTTCCTCAGCAGTGGTGTGTGTGCGTGTGTGTGTGTTTGGTTGGTTGATTGTTTTGGCCAATTTGGCAAAGCTTTAAGCTTCATCGTGGGGCTGGAAAGGGCAGGAGAGTGTAAGTCCTCAGCACTGGGATTTGTTGTTTGTTTCCTTTTCACTAACAGGTATTTTGTATTTTTGGCATTCTTGGTTTTCAAGTTATGTTGAGGGTGAGGTTTTGCTTAGAAATTTCTTAGTGGTAGAGTTATTTTATACCGCTTGGGGAGGAGGTTGTGGAAGTTACTCATTCCTCGTCTTCTGCCTTCTATTGTCTTCAGCTATGCCAAAGATCCCCTGGAAACTGCTCACTGAAATAACTCAGAGAAAAATTGTTAATGCACTTGATGGAGATCAACTGAGAAAAAAGAAACGGTGAGTAATGTCTTGGGTGAGTTGAAAAGATGCTATTTTTCTTGCTTCCATTTCATTGCTTCCCTCTGCAATAATTCTGAATGTGATCCATGCATTGGATGTGTCCTCCAGACACAAATCAGGTTTCAAAGGCATATATGGGGTTCCAGTTCTCCCAGCTTCCCAAGCAATGAGAGGTGCTGTCACTAAGGAAGACAGCCTTGTCCAAAGAGTGCTGGAACCAGACAAGGGCTTGGAGACCCAGGACTTCAAAGACAGGTATGAGGCCCCAACATGTTTTACTTTGCTGCCTCTGCATGGCCTCAATAGAGATATTGACAGTTTATTAACAAAACAATCTTTGAAGCTGGGCGTGGTGGCTCAAGCCTGTAATCCCAGAACTTTGGGAGGCTGAGGCAGGTGGATCACGAGGTCAAGAGATAGAGCCCATCCTGGTCAATTTGGTGAAACCCCATCTCTACTAAAAATGCAAAAAATTAGCTGGGCATGGTGGCGCATGCCTGTAATCCCAGCTACTCAGGAGGCTGAGGCAGGAGAACTGCCTGAACCCAGGAGGCGGAGGTTGCAGTGAGCTGAGATCGCGCCATTGCACTCCAGCCTGGGTAACAAGAGTGAAACTCCGTCTCAAAAAAATAAAAAAATAAAAAACAATCTTTGAAGGGCATAAGGAACAATTAAATCACTGTGGAAAGATGTATTTCCTTCTTTGCTTTATCACAATTGCACAGGCCCTTGAAGAAAGGAATGCCTTTCCTAATTTCACGCAGTAGGTCAAGCCCAGAAAAGAACTGGCTCCCTGATTCCCAGACATGGGTTCATTCTACCATTGTATGAAAATAGCTGACTTGATCAAATTGTTTCAGACATAATTTCTATGATTCCAACTGATGCCTGAAGATGTCTCCTGATATTTGGAGCTTGTCATTATTTCCAATTATTTTGAATTTCAAAGGAAATTATTAATTGAAAGAAAAAAGAATTTACAACACGATGAGGGTCCATTTTGGGGAGATACAATTTTGGAGCAAATGTTCTTTGGTTTTAGGCCTATCAAGACATGTTCCTGACCACCTGGAAGACTGTGTGACTGGGCAGAGAAGAGAGTGCTTTTACCAGCTTCATCCTCCTTCCAGGTACCCTTTGTTCTCTGATTCCTTTCTGGAATTCAGGAACAGCCAGTACTGTGCCATCTCCCAGATGAGTCCTACTCCTAATAGACATCGATAAGTTCTGTTCTTACTAATCTCATAACATCATCTAGAAAAGCGAAGGCTTGAGCATGTGGTGTTTTCTGAGCCCTCTAACAGAGCCTCCAAACTACCTAGAGCTTTCTGAGGGCATATCTGAATATGTGGATGAGACGTTAGAAGAAGGGGGAAAATGACTTGATTTGGGGTCTTCCTTGCACATCTAAGTTGCCTAAAATGCATTCAAGCCACTCCCAGTGGCTTCCATGAGTACAGCAAATGTCAAGTTTTCAGTTACAGGAGGAGACACATATTCTCTGTCCCATTCCTCTTGTTCCCACCACCTAGACCCAACAACACAACATCCAATAAGCCCTGGAGCCCCGGCTCCATGATCATCCTTGAGAAGGAATAATAGAGCAGCTACTGGACAGCTCAAGAAAAGCTGAAGCCACTTTTTATGCCCTGTCTAGAACTGGGACAGAGAGACTCTCTTTCATCCAGTCATTAGTCCAGCCCTCTCAGGGTAAGCAGGTGCCAGCCGTAGGAGGTAAAACAGCCATCCAGTGTTTATCAACTCTTACCATGTCCCTTGATCACACAGCATTTCATTCAATTTAGAACAGAAAGTACCCCTTGATATTATGACGAACCACCTCCTCTCATTAAGGATGAGATAACTGAGTCCCAGAGAGGAGGATGAAGGTCTTTTACTCACAGAGTGCGCCATAGCCATGCTGGGCCTAGAACTAAGATGTAGAGCTAACTTCTTAATAAGGTCACATTGATGGATCCATTTGATCTGGACCATGAAAGGTGGTCCATAGGATTGAGACTGACAGCCTAGCCTGATGGAACAGCATAAGGTAACACGTGAAAGCAAAAGCAAAGAGATGACACTGCAGATGGAAGCACCCCCTTATTCTCTCATTTTAATTAACTCAGTGTTTTCTATTTTTACCTCATTACTTTCAGGAAAATGGCTTTGATAGAACATTCAGCCTCAGGTCCAACACAGTGGCTCATGCCTGTAATCCCAACACTTCAGGAAGCCAAGAAATGTGGATCACTTGAGGCCAGGAGTTTGTGACCAGCCTGGCCAAACTCGTGAAACCTCGTCTCTACTTAAAAATACAAAAATTAGCTGTACATGGTTGTACATGCCTGTAATCCCAGCTACTTGGAAAGTTGAAGCATGAGAATTGCTTGAACCTGGGAGGCAGAGGTTGCAGTGAGCCAAGGTCACACCACTGCACTCCAGCCTGGGTGACAGAGCAAGACTCTGTCTTAAAAAAAAAAAAAAATGCAGCCTCTTTCATTGTTGAATGGACTGAAGGAGTTTTTAGAAAGTCTTTCCAGATCATTCATTTTACATTTGAGAGATTAAGCTTCCATTTAATTTTATTTTACTTTCCAAATATGGAAAAGAATTTGCCTAAAGTTTTTAGCAAATCCGAAGTTATTCAAGAAATGCACTGGAAACATGATGAATTCTTAACCTGTGTTTAATGTTCAATGAGATGGTACAGCTTTCACATTAATTCAGGTGTTAACATTTCTTTACCCTATGAACTGCCTTTAACACCCTTAGCTTCCTTTTCTACTGGATTGTCCAGATTGTTTGAATTTATTTGTCAGAGTGCTTCTTCTTTAAACAAAATTCAAAATTTATTCTCATGCATGTAATACATAATTTTCTGGGGAGCTGTTAACTATAGTTGTAGGTTGCTTAAGAGGTGATACATTCTGAGAAATGGATTATTAGGCAATCATGGCTGTAGAACCATCCTAGAGTGTACTTTTAGGAGTAGAGATGGTGTAGCTTACTACACACTTAGGCAGCATGGTAGCTCCTATTGCTCCTAGGCTACAAACCTGTACAGTATGTTACTGTATTGTAGTGTAGGCTGTTGTCAAACAATGGGTATTTGTGTAACTAAATATGTAGAAACAGAAAAAAGTACTATAAAATGTGGCTTAAAAAATAAAAAATGGTAACCTGTAGAAGGCACTTGTGAGGAAGGGAGCTTGCAGGTCTGCAAGTCACTCTGGTGAGTCAGTGAGTGAGCGGTGAGTACATGTAGAGGCCTAGGCCATCACTGTACGCTACTGTGGACATAAACACTGTAATACACTCAATTTACTTAAAATAATTTTCTTTCTTCACTAACAACCTTATTTTACTGTAACTTTGTTTTTTTAAACAGAGTCTTACTCTGTCTCCCAGGCTGGAGTGCAGTGGCGCAATCTCAGCTCACTGCAACCTCTGCCTCCTGAGTTCAAGCAATTCTCACGTCTCAGCCTCCTGAGCAGCTGGGACTACAGGCGCGTGCCACCACGCCCGGCTAATTTCTGTATGTTTTTAGTAAAGACGTGGTTTAACCGTGTTGCCCAGGTTGCAAACTCCTGAGGTCAGGCAATCCGCCCGCCTCGGCCTCCCAAAGTGCTGCGATTACAGGCTTGAGCCACCACGCACGGCCATCTTACTGTAACTTTTTTTTTTTTTTTTTTTTTAATTTTTTATTGGATTATAGGTTTTGGGGTACATGAGCAGAGCATGCAAGACAGTTGCGTAGGTACACACATGGCAGTGTGCTTTGCTTTTCTTCTCCCCTTCACCCACATTTGGCATTTCTCCCCAGGCTATCCCTCCCCACCTCCCCCTCCCACTGGCCCTCCCCTTTTCCCCCCAGTAGACCCCAGTGTTTAGTACTCCCCTTTCTGTGTCCATGTGTTCTCAGTTTTCATCACCCACCTATGAGTGAGAATATGCGGTGTTTCATTTTCTGTTCTTGTGTCAGTTTGCTGAGGATGATGTTCTCCAGATTCATCCATGTCCCTACAAACGACACAAACTCATCATTTCTGATTGCTGCATAATATTCCATGGTGTATATGTGCCACATTTTTCCAATCCAGTCTATTATCAATGGGCATTTGGGTTGATTCCAGGTCTTTGCTATTGTAAACAGTGCTGCAATGAACATTCGTGTACATGTGTCCTTATAGTAGAACGATTTATAGTCTTTTGGATATATACCCAGTAATGGGATTCTTACTGTAACTTTTTAACTTTATATGCTTTTCAATTATTTTTAACTCTTTGACTCTTTGGTAATAGTACAACTTAAAATACAAACACACTGTACAGCTATACAAAAATATTTCCTTTTTATATTGTTAGTCTATACGCTTCCATTTAATTTTATTTTACTTTTAAGACTTTTTTCTTAAAAACTAAGAGACTAACACACAATAGCCTGGGTCTACTCAGGATCATCATGATCACTTTCTCCCACCTCTCCATCTTGCCCCTCCGGAATGTCTTCAGAAGCAATAGCACGCAGGCAGCTGTCTTCTCCTATGATGGCGATGCCTTCTTCTGGAATACAGCCTGGGAAACTGCCTGGAGCTGTTTTACAGTGAACTTATTTTTTAATAAGTAGAAGGAGGGCACAAAAAGTATAGTAAGTATATAAACCAGGAAAATAGTCATGTACTATTGTTATCAGGTGTTACAGAGTGTACGTGATTGGATATGCTACACTTTTATCCAACTGGCAATGAAGAAGGTTTCTTTATATCAGCATCACCACAAACACATGATTAATACATTGCACTATGACATTATCATGGCTGTGACATCAGTCGTTGGTAGCAATTTTCCAGCATTATGTTCTTATGAGAGTACCTTTCATATGCTGTTTGTGGTTGACCGAAGCATTGTTATGAAGCACGTGACTATATTGTTTTCCTTTGCTTATAAATCATATTTAATCTTCCAAATGTTATCAACTTTTATAAAGTCAAATTTTATAATTCTTACAAAAGTATCCCCCAAGTCAGTGTTTTACCAAAAAAAATTATTACCAGATTTCCACAAGAGCTGGAGTCATGTGAATGTCATCTCATAACACATTCTTACAAAAACCATATGATTCCACAAGAATAACAATGAATCATAAACACCATTTCTTCACCATAATCAGTAACCAGAGAACAGTAGAAACTTTACACTACATGTATGGAATGAACAACTGATTTTCAATGAAGGTGTCTCTTGAAATTTTGCCTCCACCCTTTTCAGAGAAAAAAGTGGGGTCAAGAAATACATGTATAAAGAAGAGAAGAGAGAAATGGAGAGCCTGCAATGAAAATAAATTCATGGCTGGGTATGGTGGCTCACACCCGTAAATCCCAGCACTTTGGGAGGCTGGGGCGGGGGCAGATCACAAGGTCAGGAGTTCGAGACCAGCCTGGCCAATATGGTGAAACCCCATCTCTACTGAAAATACAAAAATTAGCCAGGCATGGTGGTGCATACCTGTAGTCCCAGGTACTCGGGAGGCTGAAGCAGAAGAATCGCTTGAACCTGGGAGGCAGAAGTTGCAGTGAGCCAAGATCATGCCACTGCTCTCCAGGCTGGGCAAAAGAGTGAGACTTCATCTAAAAAAAAAACAGTAAATTCATTTCCGCAAGGATAATCACATGAAGCACGGAAAGGAGTGCTGGCACCTCAGGGTGTCTGCTAGGGTTCCTGTGTACTAGCACACTGTCCCTCCTGCTGCAACAGCTTACGTTACTAGGGCATATTTGTCACAAAGGTTGAATCATTATTGACACGTTATTATTAACAAAAGTCCAGAGTTTGTTCATATGGCCTTTGCTACTACCAGTGTTCTTTCCAGGTTTCCATTCAGGACATGTTTCATTTAGTGGTCATGCCTCCTTAGGCTCTTCTTGGTTGTGACAGTTTCACAGACTTTCCTTGTTTTTGAAGACCTTGACAGTTTTGAGGAGTACTGCTTAGGTATTTTGTAGAATGACCCTCAATGGAGATTTGTCTGATATTTTTCTCATTGTTATACTAAGGATATGGGATTTTTTGGAGGAAGACCTCACAGGTAAAGTGCCCTTCTTATGATGTCATCTCAAGGGTATGGATGTCAACATGACTTATGATTGATGTTGCCCTAGATTGCAAGGCTGAGGCAGTCTGTCAGCTCCTCACACTATGAAGTCACTCTTCACCCCGCCCTTTCCATTCTGCACTCTGGAATGAAGTGACTATGTACAGCTATAACTTAACACACTCTTTAAAGAAAAGGCATCTGCATAAAGTATTTGAAATTTTTCTATGTCGGAGATTTATTCCTCATGTATTCTCTTATTCAATTGTCTATATAAATCAGTGTGCAGTCATGAATATTTATTATATGTTGTAATTTTTTTTGCTCAAATGGTGAAACATTTGAATGCTGAAAGTCACAATTCTCACTAGCTATACCACTTACAGGCATGTAAGCATTATATACCACAGCAAACACCTTCATAAAGAAGAAATATTGGAGACATGCAAGGAACACTGACAATAGGAGAATTTAGCAAATTATTTTAGGACGAGATAAACCAAGTGAGATTGCTGGGTGAAATGGTGGTTCTACTTTCAGTTCTTTGAGGAATCTTCAAACTGCTTTCCACAGAGGCTGAACTAATTTACATTCCCGCTAACAGAATATAAACCTTCCCTTTTTTTCTGCATCCTAATCAACATCCGTTATTTTTTGATAACAGTAAATAAAGCAATAAAGATAAAAATGTAAATATATGAAGCAAAGAATAGACAAACAGGTAATCTGCTTAATAAATATTAATCCGATTTTTCTAATACACTTACAAAATACACAAAGCACTAGCTACTGTAATCAAGATGAAAAGGAAGGAAGCACAACTAAATACAATCAAGGATAATAGAGAATTACACTGAAAGAGGGAGAAAACCCTGAGATTGCTTTGTAGACCAGGTTCCTTTCTCACCTCTTGGCTACTGTCCTGACCCCTAAGGTTTTGAGGATGAGGAGGCTGGGAAAGGGCCGATGATAGTGTTTGTCATCTGCCTGGGAGTTGTTTGGGTGAGGGCTGAGGAACCTCCTACTCTGTAACTTCCCTGACATACAGCAGGAGCTGTGAATTTCAAAGATCATGGTGAATAATGCTTCAGCTTTACAAAGCAGAGCTCCAAACAAATATCCTAAGAGTTAAAGGGCAGATTCTTTTAAGTAGCTGGTCTGCTCAGCCAAAAGAAAGAATTTATTCTAAATTTGAATTTGCCATCCTGGCTTGAGTAGGGTTTGGTTACCCCAGGAATGAGGTTTTGGGTCCCACCACAAGGTAACACACTGAGAGTAGTTGTGAGGGTGGCTGAGGACATGGGGACTTTAGAATGGGAAGACAGGAGGGTGATGAGGAGGATCCATTGCAGCCCTGACACCAACTGCAGAGGCCGGAGCTGTTGTGCCCCAGTCATCCTTTCTTCCATGGTTTCCCACAGAGGATGAGCACACCAGAGCCCTGGAGAAGCTGTTCCCAATGTGTGCAGGGCAACACCAGGGGTGCACTGCAGGTAACTAGGAAAGGTGCTGCTCACACCTCCCTTCAAGGAGCGCTTGTTCCCCAGGTGCCTGGAGCGTGGTTAGCTGACTGCTGTCAGCCGGTTCTCCTTCAGGCGTGTTTCAGCTCTGATCACATAGAACCAGAGGCCCTAGCTAAGAGTAGAGTAAGGCTGTGGTACAAGGGTCTACCTTTCCGCCCAATGTGGGACTCCTCTAATGGAAAACTCTTGCCCCAGAGCTCCCTGATGGATTGCCAGAGATGCTGTCAGGTCAGGTTGGCAATGGCGCCCTCTGCCAGTCCTGCTTCCTCTCCTTTACTGTCACAGGTGTGACCTCACAAGGCAACTTGCCCTCTTAACTCTGTCTCAGTTCCTGCTTTCTGGATAACCCAATCTGTAAACGTGCTCACAGAATTTTGAGAGAATGGAAGATTCAGAATCAGAGGCAATGTAAGAAGTAAGAATATCCAGGCAGCATGATCATAGCCAAACTACCCCTCAACAATTATGTGACATGGACCCTACTGCTGCAGTCCTGGACGCTCATCACTGTCACCCATGACCCTGGAATCAAGTGTCACTGTGGACAATAAAACTACCTTGTGCTGAGAAAGAATGTGCCTTTATCATTGCTGCTTCAGGTGGAAGAGTCATTTGCTGAGCATATTAGCACAGCCCTAGGTCTAACGGGTGAAGAAAAGTGACTCTCTGGTCTGCTTCATTCCTGCAACAAGAGGCCAGATCTGTCACTCATCAAGTCACCAAGTCTCAAATATGGTCTCAAATAGGGAGGTGCCACAATATGTGACACAAAGGAGTGCCACATTGTGAGCAGTCAAAAGCATACAAATATCTTTTACACTGTGGATTTTCACAGGGTTCCAAACTCCCCATCAAACTCCAGGCACTCCTTACATTGGCAGGTGCAACAGAAACAGCAAAAATGTTGCCACCTCCGGAAATAGGAGGCTACACTCTACAATTACCTTGAAAACATCCCTAAAAATGTGCTTTGTTTTACTGAGCTAGAGAGTGAGATACTCCTTTTTGAGTTTCTCACCAACATTAATTTATTTTACAAGATCACATTTAATGG